CGCCCCGGGGCCCCCGGGGGCCCCCCGGGGCCCCGGGGCCCCCCGGGGCGCTGGGGCCCCCGGGGCCCCGGGGGCCCCCTGGGGGTCCTGCAGCACTGCATGCAGCCCGCGGGGAGGGCCTGGTCTGCGGTCACCTGCTGCTGCTGCTGCTGCTGCTGCTACACCTGCAGCAGCAGCTGCTGCTGCTCCCCCTGCAGCTGTGGGGCAGGAGGGGCCCGGAGCAGCAGCAGCCCCCGAGAGACAGCTGCTGCTGCTGCTGCTGCTGGAGGCCCCTGCAGCATAAAGCCTTTTGAGGGCCCCCAGCAGCAGCGGGGGGGCCCCTACAGAAGACCACAGCAGCGCCCGCTGCGCAGCCAGCGCAGGCCGCTGCTGCAGCAGCCTGAGCCGCTGCTGCTGCTGCAGCTGCTGCTGCTGCAGCAGTGCCGGCTGCGCCTGCGCAGCAGGGACCCCCGGGGCCCCACAATCTCCTCCTGGGCTTGACGAGCAGCAAGAACGTCTTCGGTACCCACTTGGGGAACCACAGGGGCCCCCCGCGGCCTGAGAGGCCCCCGAGAGGCACCCCAGGGGGCCCCCCCCGGGGGCCCCCAGGGGGGCCCCCAGGGGGGCCCCCTGGGAGGCCCCCGGGAGGACAACTGTACCCCCTGGAGTCGGGGCTGGTCTTGTCTTTGGCAAGAACTTGAGGGGCAAGACGAGGCGGGCTCGAGCCATTAGGAATGAAAAAGGAAAAAAAGAATAAAAAGAAATAAAAAGAAACTAAAAAGGAGAAATAAAAGACGCAAAAGAAGCAGCAAGTGGCGTCCAGAGGGGGCCCCACAGGAGGCTGCGTGCTGCAGCAGCTAAAGCGCCAGGGGGCCCCCTGCAGCTCTTAGCAGCAGCAGAAGTAGCAGCAGCAAGGGGGAATGAGAAGCAACAAGGAGACGCAGCAGCAGCTGCCGCTGCTCCGCCGGTGGTCCTGCTGTCTGGGGGGGATCTAGGGTTTAGGGTTTGGGGTTTGGGGCTGAGGGTTTAGGGTTTAGGGTTTAGGAATCAGCGGGTAGGGTTTAGGGTTTAGGGTTTAGGGTTTAGGGTCTGCGCCTAAAGCACTCTCTCGCCCCCACTCACTGCGTCGCAGGCGCGAGCAAGGGGGAGCAGGGCATCTGCTGCAGTTTGTTTTTATTTTTCCCTTTACTTCTTGAATTTAATTGAATTAATTAATTTGTTGTCTCTTTATTACTCAAATTCGAGAGAAGCAGCGGCAGCAGCAGCAGCAGATCAGCAGCCCCTCAGCCGCCGCTGCATGCAGCAGCCCCAGAGCGCTGCTGCTTGCATGTGTAGTCTTCTCCTGAGCTGCGCAATTTCCTCTTTATTTTTAATTCCTTTTTCATTATTTATTTATTTTTTAATTTATTTAAATAAGCAAAGCAAAATAAGTTCTGCTGCTGCGCCTCAGTGCAGCGCCGCCGCTGCTCACTGCAGCACAGCCGTGTTTGTTCCGGTGTATGTACACCGGTTCACACCGAACACGAATTCAAAAATGCCAAAAAAGATCAATTTTTAGCAAAACTTTATTTCTTTTTTGATTTAAAAGACTTAATAAAGCTCCTTCTCAGTCTTTTGCCCAGGAACCCCCACAAACAAAAACCAAGAAGCGAAATGTCAGACTGTCTTCACTTACACCACAGCGAACTCAGCAACAGCTTCTGGAGGCTGCTGCCGCTGCTGCTGCTGAAGCAGGAGACTGCTGAAGCAGTAGGCTGCTGCAGCAGGAGACCGCTGCAGCAGGAGGCCGCTGCAGCACATCATAAACCCCCAGATATTTATCAGTCTTCTGTTTGTTATTTTACATTTTCAGGCCCCCTGTGGCCCCGGGCGCGGCTCTCTCAGCCATATCGCATGCGCTGCAGCAAATCTTAAAGGGCAGCAGCAGCGGCTTGCAGCAGCTAAGCCAAGCAGCTGCAGCAGCCTGCCCCCCAGAAGGCCCAGGAGGCCAGAAACGATTCCGTGTGGGACTCTTGCCGCCGCTGCCGCTGCTGCTGCTGCGCTTTTGGTCGCAAATAGCGCTGAGAAGAGCAGCAGACTCTGCAACAGCAAGCTGCACTTGCATGCAGCTCCCAGCCCCGAACGACCGAGCCCCGGGGGCCCCCCAAGCTGCTGCAGCTGCAGCAATCTGGGGGGCCCCCGCTGATGCTGCTGCTGCTACTGAAGGCAGGCAAAAGCTCCTTTTGCTGCGCTGCTCAGTGGGCCCCTTGGGCCAGCGGACACCACGACACGGCCGGCTTTGCTGCAGCTCCTGTCTGTTGCTGCTGCTGCTGCTGCTGCTGCCGCCCCTGTGCCCTTGTGACCTGGCAATGGTAGTTAGAGACCATTGGTCCAAGTGGTCCCGCGGCCTCTGCAGCAGTGCAGCAGGAGCTGCTGCATGCAGCAACTTCAGGAGCTGCTGCATGCAGCAGCTTCAGGAGCTGCTGCATGCAGCAATTCCCGGAGACAAGAGCTGCTGCGGGGCTGCCCCAGCTTGCGAAGAAAAGGCCCAATTTAGGGTTTAGCGTTTAGGGTTTAGGGTTTAGAGTTTGGGGAGTCCCCTCGCTGCCTCTCCCAGGAATGTAGCTCAGAACAATTAGTGCTGCCAGATGGACCAATGGACCACTTGCGAGCTTCTGCTGCAGCAGCTGCTGCTGCTAGGGAGCTGGTGGACCTAAAAATTATTTTAAAGTTTTTAAATAGCGTTTGTTTTCTCGAGTTCAACTGCGGGTGGAAACCCTGAAAAGTGGTTTTAATTCTCTAACTAAGGTTTGCTGCTTGCTGCAGTTTCTGAGGGCAATAAGCCGAAGACCACTAGTAGGAAAGCTGCTGAAGCTCCTGCTGCTGCTGGCCTGACCACTGGTCTCTGCAGCAGCAGCGAATCAGTGAGCTTTTGGATTTTAATGAGTTAAGAAAAGGGCTAGAGGCCCTTTGGGCAGCAGCCTGGGGATTTTCTGCTGCTGCTGTAGCACCGAGAGCAGCTCTCTCTGGCAATTAGACGCTGCTGCTGCTTCTGCTGCTGTTGCTGCTGCTGCTGCAGCAGATGGGGGCTGGAAAGCAACAGCTGGAGACTGCTGCTGCTGCATTTGCACACAAAAGAAATCCGCAGTAGGCATTTCGAGTCCGTCTTGTGCACTATTGCTCGAAAACAAAATAATAAAATGGAAAAAAACATTTTGGAACGTTCTCTGGAGTCTAGAGAGGCACCGGAAGAGAAAACTGACCTGAAAGGCTTTTAAAGTAATTTTTTGCTGTCTCCCTCTCATTGTCAATGGCTGTAGCAGCAGCAGAGCCAGCAAGTGCAACTTTTGCTGCTCCTGCTGCAGCAAAGCCACAGCGCTGGGGCCCACAGGCCCTTCTCCTTGGGGCATTTAATAGTCCATTTGGCCTCCTTTTTTGCTGATTTTCCCTCAGCACTATCTCTGGAGTTTTTGCAAATGGTAAATTTGGTCCTTTAAAGTTCTTATTGGCTGCTTAAAGTCTTTGTTTTGAGCGGCCTATCCATCTGGTAGTGAAATTCGACTAAGAGCTTTCTGCTGCAGAAAAGATTTAAAGTTTTAGCCACTAAGGACTTTCTCTTGTACTGCAGTTCCCCTTATTTCTAAATTTTGTTTTTGCGGAATTTTTTTTAAAAAAAAA